CCCCCCCCACTCCGGCCCCCGAGGCAGATGCTGCTGCTTTCCCCATTCCCCAGAGAGGGCTGGTGATTGCCCAGGGTCACACCGGAAGTGGAAAGCACAGGAAGTGTGCAACTCTGTGTCTAACAAGGGTGACAGCTGCCAGTGCCCCGGAGGCAGTGGACGCGGATGGTGGCCCCACTCCAGCCATTTGCTGAGGGAGCTTTGTCTCCTCCACCAGCCTGGAGTGCCCCCTGCAGGGTCTTCTCCTGTGAGTTGGGCAGGAGGCAGAAACCGGGCAAACCTGCGTGGACCCTTGAACTGTCTGAACAGGAGAGAGAGCTTTGAGCCAAGGGATGATGTGAGAGCAGCTTGAGGGGCAGCAAGCAGACACGTAAGATGATAAAAAGGAAGCAGGGATGGTGGGCGCTTGGCAAGGGGCAGAGAGCACGGACCAGGTGGGCTTGCTTCTTCCCTGTTCTTGCCCTGACTTAAAGTGGACCCACCTGCTGCCCCATCACACTCACCCCTCGCTGCATTCCTCCCCACTCTAAAGTCCTCTCAGGGGGATACTGCATCTGGGTGTCTCTGTCTAGACTGGTGCTGCTGTCGGGGCACACGGGGTGTGGGAACCCTCAGGCTCTGAGCCCCGCCACCAGGTGGCTCTCAAATACCAGCAGTGAGCCACAGATGCTTAAAGCATGTGCCCGACGCCGGGGGATTCGGCTGCTGGAAACACAAGGACCTCTATTTGCCATGTTGGTATAGGTCTCTAGGAAGAAGCCAGAAAGGATAGATGGACAGACACCCACATGCAACGGTGATGAAGTCTGAGGGTTCCGATTTGGGTTTTTGTTGTTTTGTTTGTTTACCTGTGGTTATGGGTTGAATTGTGCTCTTCCCCCAAAAATTCATATGTTGGAGTCCTACCCGCCCCCAGAACCTCACAATGTGACTTCACTTTGAGGAATAAAACAACTTTTAGCGATTTTTTAGCACCTGCCCCAAAGCTGGATCCTAGCTAAGTCTGGCCCCCCAGGTTCAAAGTCAGGCCTCCCTAGAAGAAGGTCCCCACACCTTTTGGGGAAGCGCGCGGAGCTCTCCAGGGTCCCCGGGTCCTCGGAGGCAGCAGGCTCGCTGCTCCCCCCCTCCAGCTGATCATTATTTGGGACTTCATCACATACAGCTGAGGAATCACCACCTTCCATGTCTCTTGTCTTGGAACCTAGAAGCCAAGCCAGAGACCCTCATTAGCTTTCGGGGCTCCTGGCGGGTGCCCGTGACCGCCCACAGCCCCCCCCCCGCATTAGAGAACCGGGCCTCTCCCCTAAACCGGCTGGGCCCACGGGCACGACCCCTCAACCTGCTGGACCCTGGGGGGAAACCTTCGCCAGCGCCCCGAAAGAGGGGAACCACAGGAAGGGCCAGCGGGGCCACCCTCCCACGACAGCAAGTTCGGGCCGCGAGGCGGGGTCAGTCCTGCGCCGGCTAATTGCCCGAAGGCGGCGCCGTCACTGGGCTCTCCCTTCCCCCGCGGAACTCAGGAGCCAGCCCGCGAGGGTGGTGGGGCCGGGGGCGGGGGCACGGCCCCCACTCAACCGCACATTCTCAGCCTCTCACGCACGTCGGGTCCCAAATCCCCTCTGCGTCTCCGCAGGGCAGCGGTCCGGGCCCAGGGGGCGTGGGACCCACGCGCAGGCCTCCACCGCGGCCTCGGCGGAGCTCAGGGAGCCCCCACCCGGCCCACCTCGACTCGCTGAGCTCCCGCCGGGATCCCGACCGCGCCCCGAGGCCCGGGGGGCTCGCACGCACCACCCCGGGTCCGCCCCGGGCGGCGGCCTAAACCGCGCAGCGGGCTCCGACGCTCCGCAGCCTGAGCCCCAGAGCGTCGGGTTTCCCTGGAGACCGGCGCCCCGCCCGCGGCGTCCTCCTCCAATCCCACGCCCGGCCGCGCCCGGCCCCGCCCCCCCGGGCACGCCTCGCTGCGCCCGGCCCCGCCCCCAGGACACGCCTCGCTGCGCCCGGACACGCCTTGCTGCGCCCGGACACGCCCCATGGCGTCCGGGGGGGCGGGGGGGAGTAAGGCGCGCCCCTCTGTGACCGCACAGGACCCTCTGCCCTGCCCCCACCCGGTGCCACCCAGCGTCCCCGCACCTGCGCGAGTGCTGGCCTTCCATCTGAGCCCCCCGAGAATGCGGGGACCTGGCACGTCCGTCTCCACCCGGGACAGCGGGTCAGCCTCTAGGCCAAGGGCGCCCGGAGCAGATCGCGCGACACGCTCCTAACGCCCCCGTGAAGACAGCACGGGGGATGCGCCCGAATGACACCTGAAGAAACTGAGGCACAAATGGGGCACATTAACCTGTCCACAGTCACGCGCTAGGGCGCGGTGGAGGCAGCATTTGATCAAGCGCGCGCGGCCTGACTCCGAAGCCGGTTTTCGCCCGTTCAGTAAATGTCTGTGGAAGTCACAGAGCAGCAGCTCGTGGCCGGGTGGGGGAACAGACGAGGTGGGGAGCCGGGGGCGCTGGGAGAGAAGGACTAGATGTCTGGACCCAGGGGTCCCTGGGGAAGACTTGACGGAGAGAAGGTTCCAGAGTAAGGGTTTCAGAGGATGCACAGGAGCTCTGTGGCGAGAAGAAAGGACATCTCAAGGAACCGGAGCAGTGTGTGCAAAAGCAATGCTGGGAAACAGCACAAGGGCTTTCTGCAACTGAAGCAGCTGGGGCTTCCTGGGAAGAGCCCGAGGGCTCTCTGAAGGCACAGGGTTTGGGGCTAACCCAGACTTCCCCTTAGAACAAGGGGGAAAGGATATGAAAAGCCAATGCCCAGACCCTTCCCTGTGGGCCGGGTTGGCAGGATTAAGGCTGCTGAGCTAGGATCCCTGGGTTCAGGGGGTCTTCCTCCCCTGCAATTTCTGTGTCCCAGTTCACCTCTCTTCTCTCTCTGTACTCACCTAGGTTCCTGGATCCTCTCTCTTCACCTGGTATTCTTACCCCTCAGGTCTAGCCTCCCCTGCTCCCTCCAACTGCAGTTTGGGAAACTGAGCAGAAACGAACTGTGCTGTCTTCAAAATGTGTTTATAAAAAGAGAAAGGAAAAGTTAACACTTCAAAATATCCTACAAACCTGTTAACCACATGTGACCTGTTGTGGGTTAAGTGGTGTCCCCCCAAAAGATAAATTGAAGTCCTAACCCTAGTACCCGTTAATGACCTTGTTTGGAAATAGTCTTTCCAGATGAATGAAGTCATACTGAATTAAACCAATGGACCAGTGGCCTTATAAGGAGAGGGAGATTGGGAGACCCAAGCACCGAGGAAAGCATAATCAACTTCTGTTGTTTTAAGCCACCAAGTTTGTAGCCTTTGTTACAGCAGCTTTAGGAAACTAATTCATCACCCAATATGAAAAACTCTCAACAGCTAAAGAAAAAACTATTTGTGGCAAATCTGACAATCTGGTGAGATTGGCAAAAACAATTCTAAATACTAAAATGTGGTCCAAAAAGAAAAGGTGTTTTAGAAACTTCTATAAACTAGAAAACGTTCAATGTGAAATGTTGAAATTTGGCTTATATTCATAATATATGCACTGGCATTTTTAAAACCTGGCGTACAAACATAAAAAAGCCCTATTTCCACAAATTGATACAAGTCCTATGTTGACACTAAAGAATAGTTCAAAAATGTTTTGATAAGAATATATTAATATTTATTGACAATATTCAAGAACATTAGTTTTTAAACTTTTTGCTGAGCTAGTAAACTTGGTAAATTCAGCAAATTAGTAATTTAGCAAACTGATCTTAAGGATGACTAGCTTTCAGCAAGTCAGCTGCTCGTATCACCAGTCATGGTGTTTGCAAACCTGAAAATGCCAGCTGAACCTATCACTTATATAAGATTTATGCGAGTCCACTGTGTACGTGAGAGAGTGGCATTGCTACTAAAATTCAGTTGAAGGTTTTGAAAAGTCAACAAAGAAGTTCATTTTTTTATTTTTAAGCTGAGCCACCCTGCCACCTGTTGGCAGCTCAGCAGCTGCTCAGCTCAGGCCGGGACTCGAACTGCGGTTGCTCAGAGTTCAAACTCTTGAGCAAGCTCTTAACCAACTGAGCCACGCGGCTGGCCCCTAGAAAAACGTTAACAAAGAAGTCACTTAAAAATTGCAATCAAGTCAGGTGTAAGTGAGACACTAAAAGACTGTGGGGGAAATCAGTCTAAAACTTCCAAAAGGATTCTGCCTTCTAATTGCTTCTCCAGGGCCTTGAAGTTCACAGAAAAGAAAGGAGCTGAAACTGCAAGGCGCCGACCTACAGGAAGGTTCATCAGAGGAGGGAATGGACACGCTATATATGATACGCAGCAGGTCAAGATACAATGTTTTAGTGACTTTTTAGATGGACTATGTGATGGGTACAGACTTTATTGTGTATCAGAATGACATGGAGCCTGTGGGCCCTACCCCAAGTGTCTGCTTCAGCAGGTACAGGGTGGATGGGCCTCAGCATTCCTACAGAGTCCCCAAAGCTTGCTGAAAGAAGGGCCACACTTTGAGAACCACTGGGCTGGGGTGATGGGTAGGTAAGCAGAGAGAGAGAGGGCTTGAGGGACAAGGCCGGAAGAACCTTAACTGCCAGGTTAGAGACAGAAGCAGCAAAGCATTTTTAAACAGAGTGGTGCAGGTGGGGCCTATGCTTTTTTTTTTTTTTTTTTATTGGGGAACAGTGTGTTTGTCCAGGACCCATCAGCTCCAAGTCAAGTTGTTTCATTCTAGTTGTGGAGGGCGCATCTCGGTGGCCCATGTGGGAATTGAACCGGCAATGCTGGTGTTATGAGCCTGCGCTCTAACCAACTGAGCTAACAAGCCACCCCTGGATATGTGCTTTCAATCAGAGGCTTTCAAGACTTTTTGCCTGAGACCCCATTTTATGTCACGACCCAATACAAACATGACTGAAAGTTTCCAGGAAAAGCTCATGCTCCTACATGTACGTGCCGTAATATATTTTCTCTACTATATCACTAAAAAATAAAACACTGGTCATGACCCACAAAATTGACTTCACTACACACTAATGCAGAATAAAATTGAAATTGCAATAACTAAATATATGCAAGGCTGCAAAAGTTACTTTTCAGTGAAACCACTCGCTGAAAGACACTGAACATCAGAAAAATCTATTGAAGAGGTCTTCTTATTGAATCTCATTAAAGAGGCAACTGCGTGAACATTCATATTACATTAATTTTTTTAAGTTACAGTGATGACCCAAAAGTTAATAGAAAGATAAAAACAACAAAAATACTGGTCTAGGAAGAAATGATGAAAAGTTAACGGTAAACGGCTTTATTTTATATGAACCATGTTTTACAATAAAAGGGAAAATAAAATGCAGAAATTTCAAAGTGCAATTTATTAGGAAGCAGATAACAAAGAGGAATAAACACAAAGCTGTACTAAAGGACACCTCAGCCCGCAATGCAGTTATAGGAGTAGTTATTAAGAATACACGAAACCACGCGGTTTATCAACAAGACGACATGGAAGATCCTGGTCAGTGTACGGATGAGAATTCGTGACGAGGGCCCCCTGCTCCTCTATGCGGCAGCCACAGCCTGAGAGGAAGCCCACCTCCCCGAGCCCTGCTGGAGCCCTACTGGGCGGCCCAGCTGGACGGGCTGCCAGGCAGGTGTCCGCGTCAGTAAAACCTCCCGGAGCTACTCTGGCAGCTCTGGAAGCCCCGCCCCGCAGTTCTGCCCCTAGCTACCGCCAATCCGATTCCCTCGACGGCCACAAGCCCAGCCAACGGCCTCCGTAGCCAATCAGAGGCGGGGCTGCTCTCGGCTTGGCCAATGAGGAGGTGGCCAGGGCATTGTGGGCGGACCCCGCTGGTGCTCAGCCCGACGCAGCCCGCCAGGGGTAGCCCTCGGAGGCCTTTAGGACCCGGGAGCGCTCGGCTGGCAGCCCGACGGCCCAAAATAGACTCTTCCCTCCCCCCGCCCTCGGCCAGGCGCCGGTCATGGACTCGGGGCGAGCCGGACGCCCCGGGGCAACCGAGGCCGCCCCGTCGGCACCGCCTCCGTTTGCGCACGTCGCCCCCTCGCTCTTCCTCGGGAACGCACGCGCCGCGGCAGCGTCGGAGCTGCTGGTGCGGGCAGGCGTCACCCTGTGCGTCAACGTCTCGCGCCAGCAGCCCGGCCCGCGCGCACCCGGCGTGGCCGAGCTGCGCGTGCCCGTGTTCGACGACCCGGCCGAGGACCTACTGGCGCACCTGGAACCCACCTGTGCCGCCATAGAGGCTGCGGTGCGCGCCGGCGGCGCCTGCCTCGTCTATTGCAAGAACGGCCGCAGCCGCTCGGCCGCTGTCTGCACCGCCTACCTCATGCGGCACCGTGGCCTCAGCCTGGCTCAAGCCTTCCAGGTGGGGCGGGCCTTCCGGGCCGGGAGGGCGGGCCTTCCGGCTGGGTGCACTCGGGGGGGGCAGGCGTCCCTGAGGGGCGGGGCTTCAGGCAGGGGCGGGGCACGCCCTTCGGGCCGGCCCGCGGGCATCAGGGGCGTTTGGGGACTTCGCACGGAGCGCTGCGCAGCGATTGACTTAATCCCATCGTTTGCAGACCGTGAAGAGTGCGCGCCCCGTGGCCGAGCCCAACCCTGGCTTCTGGTCTCAGCTTCAGCAGTACGAGGAGGCCCTGCGGTCCCAGCTGCCCGGGGCGTCCTTGGGTCTGTGAGCCCTGGTTGGTCAACCCGGCCCCCAAAGCAGGGCGCTGGGAGTTTCCTGGGAAGAGGCAGCCCGTGCACGGACGGGAAGGTGGCCTTTCCTCATGGAGGTTTCATTTTCTGCGTCTTCCTGAGATGCATGCAGCTCGTTTGGCTGCGCTTCGGGGTTTGTCCACTGAGGAGACTGGGAACTGTGCCTCCTGGGGTCGGCCTCCGTGTACTAGACTGGGCTTGGTCAGGAAAATCAAAGCCGCTAGAATTTTAGGCAGAAAGACATTTATTACAGGGAGACTGAGGCTGGGGAGCCAGGGTCAGGAGATGGGGGAGTTCAGGAGTCACAGAGACGCACCACCCCGATTCTGGCTGCTGGCCGCTCTGATGTGGGCAACTCGGGAGGACGCCTGGGGCTGCTGGCGGTCTCGTGCCTGCCACCTGCTCGAGCCGTAGGGGCTTTTCCCCAGCCTCACACTGGTCCTGTCTCAGAGCCCAGCACGGGATTCAGCCGCAAGGACCCACGACTGCTAGACTTGCAGCTGCTGTAACATGCAGGCAAGGGTATGAGGCTGTGTGACAGGCCTGCCAGCCGGGGTGGCTTTGGGGCTCCCGGCATCCATACCTACCTCCTACCTTATTTACCTCCCAGTTTCAACAGCACTGAGCCCAGGCCTGATGTCCTGCAGCCACCGGCACGCCAGCAATGCCCCGGCCACCTGTGCATCTGACCTGTTCACGCCTCTTCTGGTTCACATGCACCTCACCTGGGCATCCGATGGTCTAAGGACTAGACTAGAAAATGTGTCACCATCAACACTTCTTAAATGAGGCAGTGGGGAAAAGAAAAGGAAAAACTGGGCAACACATACGCACTTCAGATAATATACTTCCTGGTTAATATGTACAAAAACATACAGAACACGATAATGAATAAAATACTGTAGCTGGTGTCTCATTCCCTTGTGCCCCTCCTTCCACGTCCCCCGCACCCTCGGCCAGCTCCTTCCTGGAGGGGTGGCTCGTGCCTTCGCCCTGCAAGGCCCTGAGTGGCGGTGTCTGCACTCGTGCTCTGCCCTCCGTGTCCCCTCCCACACAACCTGAGAGGCATCAGGAGTGTCCTGGGCCCCAGCATGCCCCTCCAAGCCCCACCGAGCAGCAGCAAAAACCCACTGCCCCTTGAAAGTCAGGGTCCGTCAGTCAGTGCACCCCGCAGAGCAACCCCTGCTCTGCCCAATGCCTCTGGTTTGAGGTGGCGCCAGCCTCCCAACCAGGAGACATGGTGTGTCACCAGGTGGGAGCCTCCTCCTGGGAATGAAGACCTCTGACCCAGCAGAGCCGCTGTGGGGACGGGAAGCTCACACTTTGGGAGGCACTGGGGTGGTCATGAGAAGGGTCTCCTCCTCCCCAGCCCTCTGGCTCCTGCACCCGAGTTTCTGGCTGTGACAGGAACAGTGCCATCCATTGGTCCGTAGCTCAGCATACACTACACCCAGCCCTGCTTGAAGCCACCAGTCAGCAGCCACCCCCGACAGCCACGGCCTGTCATAACCCGACTTCCACCTTCAGCTGCTGCTTACTCCCCACTGAGCCCCTCAGAGCTCGTCACCTTCTCATCAGCCCCATGGGGACCTATGGCCATTGGCTCCATCTGCAACCTTGGGAGCTGAGCTGTCTGCCAGCTGGGAGGTCAGGAGCCAGGACCTGAGCCCCAGCGGTTACCTGCATGCTGCAGCCCACCCCTGCTCACAGCACCTTTGATGGCACACCCCCACCCCAAACTGCTGACCTGGCCTTGGGTGACAAGGGTGCAGAGGTGACAAGAGCCCAGGATAGGTTGAGGGACATCTGTGGGTCACAACAGCGTTTTATCCCACCAGCTCTGTTCTGAGAAGCATCCAACTGCAGCTCCCACCAGGGAACCAATTATCCTAGGACCCCTGTCCAAGGGACAACACAGCCCCAGCCTGAATGGCACTTCCTCCTGGAAGCCCTTGCCTCCATATCTGCCTCCTGACAGGTGAGGCCAGGGGCCCACTCCCCTCCCTGGCGTCAGCCACCAGAACGGGGTTGCCCGGCGCACGTGCATTAAGGGAAGGCTGGTGTCAGCTGATTCGGCCTGCCCAAGTCAGCCAGGGTTTGATCACCAAAAGGCTGGAGTATGAACAGTCCTGTGAGAGAAACCCCGGTCTCAGGCAGTCCCAACTTTGCTCCCCACTGGTTAGGTCAGGGTGGGGTGACAGGACTACACTGCAGCTGCCCAGACCTTTGCTAGCAGGCAGAGACAGGTGAGGCGTGGGGACAGCCACTGTGGGCTTCACAGTTCACCAGGTGCCTTGCATCAACACTTACAAACAGGTCTGTTTGCTCCTTCAAGACTGTCTCGTGTAGGCTCCTTATATAAACGTGGGATAGGAGGCACCCACCGAGGGGAGGCAGTAACAGCCCCTCTGGACTGGCAAGGCTGCCCCACCCCTCCTGTGTGAAGAACTGGCAGTGGGGAGATGCCCAGGGCCCGCCAGGGCAGAAGGGGTGATACCCAGCAACCCCCCCCCCCAAGTTCAGAGGACCAGGATGGCAAGAAGCCCCAGATGTTAACTTACCCTAGGGCTCGGTGGCTGCTAGGTCTCTCCAAGGGTGCTTAGGGCGGGCTAGTGTGGGCGCCTGCGTGCAGTCCGAATATGCTGCCAGGCCTGGGTGTGGAGCTCAGAGAGGCTGGTCAGCCAGGAGTGCCATCTAAAACACTGCCCTCGTACCAAGGGACCACGTCACCTGGGCAGGCGCTGGGTCACTGAACCGACCCCAGGCCTCTCCCTACTGAGTCTCTGGCTCAGGACTGAGCCCTCCTCTGGATGACTGCAGGATGAGTCTGGGGTTGGGGCCCCAGCAGACAGGCTGTGTCCCCCCAGCTAAGATGGCACATGGGGCCGCCTCAGTGCACGTGCTCCGCATCAATGAACACACATCCTCCCTCTCAGCTGACCTTCCCACCCGCACCCGCCCCCTGAGAGGAGGGCAAGCACAATCACAGGCTCACAGATGGGGACACTGAGTCCCAAAGGATTCAACACTACTCAGGGATGACGCTGAGGTCAAGTACAGTGTCTGAGTCCAGCCCCCACTTGGCCACGTGGCAACTGAGCAGGAGAGAGAGGTGTGTGGGTCCTGGACTCCCCCCCTCAGGCCCTGAGTGCTTACGCCATGCCAACAGCAACAGCTTGGTGGCCCCTCTCATTCCATGGCTTCAAGGTCCACCTGACGGTCGCTCATCGGGCATCCTCCCTGGTCTGCAGCCGACCCCTCTGGGCCCAGGTCCCTGGACAGGACTGGCAGGTGGGATGGGGCAGGCAGGCCGGGTCCCATTACTACCCCAGCACTCACCTCCTCAACAACCTGGCCCCCGGGGTCCTGCCAACCCGTAGGCAGCACAGTCCAACAGAGCTTTCTTCCACGGTGGGCTATCCCTATCCAATATGGCTGCCACTTGCCAGCCACTACACTCCACACACACACACACACACACACACACACACACACACACACACACACACGGAGACCTCGAAAACGGCTGCTGCAACTGAGGAACTGAACTTCTAATTCTATTTCATTTAAATCTAAATAGCCACACATGGCTAGTGGCCACCTGATCTGACAGCACAGCCCTAAGCCTGCTGAGCTCCATCTGGCCCCACATGGCTCGCAACACGGACCACTGGTCTCACCCGAGAGTGGCTTGGGGGAATATGAGAGTCATTCCCTCGGCCGCCAAAGGACGAGTAACATTGAGTTCCAGACGCTACACTTCCCGGCTCCAAGGAGGCAGCCCTGCCCCAGGAGTCTGGCCCTCTGCGTCCTCAAGGGAGCGCCGATCCCGCCTCCTGGGATCTCCGGGGCGCAGGCCAGGTAGGAAGCGCACAGGGTGGGGAGGCTGTGCGGCCGCCGGTCGCCACGAGGCCCCCATGCGCCCGGGTCCCCGAGCATAGCGATCCCGGCTCGCTGTCCTCCCCAACCCCAACCCCAAACCCATGCACAGCGCTCGGGCCACCTGCGCACAGCGCCCGGTCTCCCTGCTCCCCATCCCACGCCGCGCAAGCGCTCCGGCCACCTGTGCACAGCACCCCAGCCCCGCGCACAGCGTTCCCGGTTCCCAGTGTCCCCGCGCACAGCGCCCC